AAGAATTTTGCATCACTCAAAAATATCTACAACAGTTTTGTAAAAAAAAAATCAATACTATAGTTGATCATATATATATATACACCTTTGAATTAGCATATGTTTTCGTGTTTATAGACCATTTCAGAAATATTTATAATTAATTAAATAGATTGATGAGAAGGTCTTCATAAACATTAGGACACATCAATTATAAGCTTATTTTAAAGATAATTGTCACTTTCTAAAATATTTTAAACATATTATGCCGTGAAGCAAGTGAGTTCAACATGATAAATAAAATAAGTTACATTTATGTGGTTCCAGAAATTTAGGATATATATATATATATATATTAGGAATTTCTCTTCTTCTCCTCCTTTTTTCTTTTTGATTTTCTTCACACGTGGAAAATTGAAGACTTGCTGCTTATTTGTGATTATTTGATTTAGTTGAAGAAACTTGAAGAACATCTTATTGAGGTTTTTTTAGCTTGTTTGTAGAAGAAAATAAAACGAATCTATTAAATTTTGAAGATCTAAGTTGAATCTAACGATTAAAAATTATTAGAACTGACATTAGAAGAATTGATATCGAATTTGGAGTCATTTGAAGTTGATTCAGGAACAATTTGGATTTTTTTTTGTTAAATCAAAAACATGTTGAACCTATACATAATTCAAGTTATATTAAGATAGAGATCCTGACGATCACCATAACTTATTATTAAGACAATTTTGATGATTACCATAACTTCTTCCAACAAACCACGGAAATTTTATTCAAAATACTGACGAAACAACTATTCATATACCTTTTTTATGAGACTAAAATTTTAACGATGAGACCTGGAGATCCTACATGTGCAAATCATCCTAATTTTTAGTTCTTTTACTTATAAATCTTATAAAGTATATTCTTATTCTTGAATATGCTAAAGTGAGAAAAGCCTTTAATAGTGATTGTCATGTGTTATATATATTCTTTTGTGAAATGATTTATAAAAAAAGGAAATAAATACGTGGATTAATGGAAGAGGGAATTTTGTTGAGCAAAAAGAAGGAATATAAACGTAAAGTTTCAACAATAATATTCTATAGTACTATCGTGTACTTTTCTTTTTCTACATTTCGACCTAATAACATTATAAAAGTAAGGTATATTTAACCGTTTCTCGACTTGTACATGTCATTTTTATGCAAAAATCATAATTCATGTTAATTATATCATATGTTTAAAAAGGATTAATAGTGTTTTAAAAAGTATTTATTTCAAATATTTGAAGTGTTTAATTTGATCAAGTTCTTTTAAAAAAAATATTTTTAAATAGAAGTGGAATTTGTTTTTGGAAGCTAAAAGGATAGCTTCTCTTCATAAATACTCTTTCAAAGTTTAAGTTAAATATAAATTATTATTTTAATATTAATAAAATATTTTTTTAAAATTAATTAGTCAGACACAATACAATATAATATTAATATTAAATAGAATTATATGTGAATTTTTAGAAATGGGGAGAGTACAAATTTCAACATCAATGAGCTTTTTGAAAATGGCATCTCAACCATATGCTATGCATTGCACCCAAATTGCACTCCCCAATTCCTCTTCACTAAGACAAGGTCCTGATTTCCCTCA